CACGGTGCATGCGTCACCGGTTATCAAAATCTTTTTTATGCCACATAATTTTACTTTCTCCGGTTCGCGAAGCATTCTGCGCCGGCTAACTTTTTGCTCGCGCCCCGTCTAATTCCGCGAACTTTCCCCATTTCTACATGTAAAATTTCATCAGCGTGAATATGTTTGAAAAAGGTCCGCGTCTTTTTGTTTCACTATTTTATCCGCCGGACGAGAATAACCGGCGAAAATCCCGTGACCTCGTTACCGCGTGGCGCAAAAACAAAGACCATAATGTAGCATTTATGCCTGCCTGATTAGTTCCAGCGAACCATCCCCGGTGCAGTAACTTCCATTGTAGATGATCGGCGAAAAATGAAAAGCGGATCTCGTTAGACGTTACAAGATATTTCGAAATTAGCGTTTCCGTCCTTCTGTTTCCTCGACGCGAGCCGGAAATTCGAATTCCACAAGATCGATGCGTATGAAATCTAAGCAGACGTTTCTCTTAAATCGCGTTTGTCACGGTTCTCGAATTTCCTGACAAATGACCGGGTTAAAATCGCGATTCGAACATTTTGACTCAGGTCTCAAAATTTAATCTACGCGTGCCGAAATGTTAAAGAGACGAGTGAAACAAATGATAAAGTTACCAATAAATTAACTTAACCCTGAATTACGAGAGATACTTTGTCTCTCGCAATGAGGAAAACGTGATTACCGAGTTACGCATATGCACGTAAGTGCATAATCTTAGAATATACGTATGAACAACGATTATTAAATTTTTTTACTAGTCAGTGAATGATTGATGAATAACTTTTATCAAGTATTTTACGAAGAATATGTATGAACAACGATTACTAAATTTTTTTACTAGTCAGTGAATGATCGATGAATAACTTTTATCAAGTATTTTACGAAGACGGAAGAGAACTGTCTCGGTCTTCGAAAACAGTTTCAAACGAGCACACAATTATACAGAAACGCGAATGTCCATAACGAATCCGAGAGTGCGATAAGCTTGAAAATATTCAAAATCTCGGGAGTTCTATAAAAGTTTCGAGAAACTGAAACGCTTGTGTATTACGCGGACATTTAAACGGGTAAGAGGATATTAAGAAGATAATGCGAGCCATCGTCATCAATGTCGCATTCTGTATGCATCTGCATATAAGATCGAGGCTTTCGAGACTCGGAGAACTTGAAACAACTCCGAGGGAAAATATAATCGCATTTCAGATAACGCTTCAAAAATTATCACGTTTCTTGGAGCTACCGAAACTTTTCTAACATCCGGCATCAAACACTGCCTGCTCCTCACGATAACGGAAACAATTCGAAACCGTAGCACTCGGATCAAAATTACCATAAGTTGTTGCCTTAAAGAAATTCGGAGAATGCGTAATGAAAAATACTTTCGAACAAATTACAAACTTCACGCGTTCCGAAGAATAATAATAATTTAATAAAAAAATGTAAACATTTAACGGCTGTGTTCACCTTTTCAACGTGCACGATGGCCGATAATGAAATATGTATAAAATATTTTCCCCGAAACTGCCTCTCACAGAAATTTCGTTAAAAGCGATGTATCCAGGTTCGATGTATTCCTGCGTGTAATATTCTGCATCGCGTGCTATATTTAACGGAGAATCAAATTTTAAATATTCTGTATACTTTCGGAAATAATACACGAAATAGTCGAAAATGTTTCACGATATTTTTAATACAACGAAATACAATTACGTTTGAAAATTAAATAAAATTAGCAAAACGTTTAAATTTTAACGCGACCGCAGCACGAACAGTTGAAAAATAAGGATCACGCTGTAACTCGTTCATGCACTTCAATTTTTAGCAATGCATTAACACTAAACCTACCGATTTTTAAAACTAACCGACGCGCATTATTGCAACTAACCACCTTTATTATAACGTATGCCTGGATTAAAAAATTTATTCGATCATTTTTTATGGGACAGTCTTTAACGTTCCAGCAACGATAAAACAAAAGATGCGCAACCGGTAATTTTCGCTCGATAGATTCAGTGATAAGCTTGCACGGAAGCAATGCCAGAATTGCTCAGCACTAAGAATTAAATAGTTTTGAAAGCTCGCAAGCGATAGTGGCATAGCGATCAACGGTTCGAGGAAAGGTCAAGGATCCTTTGCTCGCCATTGGGAGTTCGAGCAGCGAATCGCCGCGCACGCCGGCGCATCCGTAAATAGAGCGCAATGAAATAGAGTCTTTCGAAGCGTTTCGTAAAGCGAGCGAAGTTTAAGCGCGTGGCGGCCATTGCGGCGGCACGTTAACGCAGTTCAACGCTTCCGTAAATCGGCAGTTCACAAAATTAATCGTCCAAACGAACGTTCTTCCGCGCGAAGATAGCGCTGCAGCATAATGCGACCGCCAAAGCAGGCGTTTTAATGTTATTAACATGACTGGGGATCCCGCGCATTCATTCGCGGAAATTGCAGACGCGAACTCGTCTCGTCCGTTCATTCTGCATTTATTTCTAATCGGCAATCAGCCGCGAATCGGTGATACACTATTTCTAGCGCGCGATTACAGAAACATTCTGTCCCAGACTTGTCATAAATCAATCTATAAATTACTTCATTCGGTCCAAACAAGCCAAACTAATCTTTTATTAATTAACTGAAATGTACAACTGTTGTTATATAATTTCTGATTACCGCTCGCTGTTGCTTTTTCCTTTGTATAGCAAATTCTCGGTGACTGTTTTCTTGAAATACAAGAATATTTTGACAACTGTACGAAATTGTTAAAAGTTGACAGTCTGAAAGATGGATTACGATCTTCCGAAATAACAAGTTTTGAAAAAGACGTTTTAAACGGAAATAGCATGATTTTAGTTGATCGTTTTATTCAAAACATTTAACTTGAATTTGATATTATCTCTGTAATGTATGCATACAGAGTGAGCCATTTAAAACAGGTAACCTGAATAACTCGATCGCATTTAACGATAGTAAAAAAATCGGTAATAAGATATGGTAACAATAATTTCGTGACGGGTGATCAAATACGAGGGTCAAACCTATTTTTTAAATAGAATGGTATAGTTTTTATTCTAGAATCTTGTTCTACGTAAAAAGGAAGTAGTAATATTTTTCTGAAGCATTTTTTTAAAGTAACTTCAGTTTTTATGCTATCGAGAGACAAAAATACAACGTCACCGATGTTGGATAATGCTTTTGTTAACATACTTACACCGATTCTGTTAATGAAGATGTTTCTATGCGCGCCTCTCGATATCATAAATACCGAAGAACACCCTGTAAAACAGTTTTTCATGCGCCCATAAATACCGTAAATGTTCACGTAATCCATTTACGTAATTTCACCTGCGCAGATGGGACAGGTCAGATAATGAATAAACGAAAATAAGAGGCGTATCGATCATTTCGCAGACTGGAGCCTTCCACGCGTCTTTCTCGACAGGTCTGCCTTAATTAGGCATGCATTTGTAATAACTATAAGCTGAGAGTATTTTTTTTTGTAAAACATGCTCAGATGAATCGTCGAATCTTCCAGTCTCGTTTTTAAAGCGCGACAAATCGGTCACGCTGCTCCACACCATTTTAAACAGCGAAGCAATCGTATCACTTGTTCGCACAATTAATTTATATTTTTATTCAAACGACTGTTAACACGTACACGTGTAAAGTCACGATTGCCGACACAATGTTGTACGATCGTTTCGCTAAAAAACATGAAAGCTTGTGTACGATAATCCATTAATTCAACCTGTCACTGCGCTATTAATCGATCATTCGTAACAGCCTACGTAACGTTAAAGCGCAGATACTTATCTTGTTATAAGTACAGCGAAGCCAATATTTGCTGTAAACGCGAGCTAAGCTTAAGGGCAAAGAGGCTTCCAATGAAGAAAACGTCATTTGAATGATTGAAAAGACTGCGCGTCGTCGATGCACGCGCTAAGTGGAATGGTCTGCTGTTAATCGGACGTGCGATCGTTCAACGTTACTTTACTTCGCGCGAACCGTTTATTTTATAGTTTCATCGTTTCGCATTGAATGCAAACAAATATTGCGGTCCAATTAAATTAGTTGTTCGATGCATTTATTTAGATCGCGTATCATTCAGCCTTGTTCAGCTTTCTACGCGAAACAAATTATGCAATTCTATCCTCCACTTTTGTTTCGAAATTTGTTATTTGCTATCTCTTCGCGGCACTTTTCCTCAAACGATCCGAGCCCACAAAAGAATTCAATTAGCGCAACACCGATACCGCGACCCTCGCATAATAATTAACCCTATTCCGTTCCTTTTGTTCCCTGGTTCGGTTGCACGCCGAGTCGATGCAATGATAAAAACGCTATACGATGGGGAAATCGTATTATCTCGGATGAGACGAAATTCTAACGAGACCGCTTGCATTGTTGAAAATTGATAGAACGATGCTCGGAACATGCCACTTTTCAAGAAGCAAGAAAAAGTACGTCGAAACAGCACCGAAGAACCAGCCGACGTTTAAACGTAAAAATCGTCGAATTTCTCTAACCCCTTTGTTTTCGATTCGCAAAGGCCGAGCGGTTAAAATTTTCTGACGTCTCGACAGGCAAAGTTGACAGTGCTCGGCGCATCCGCGACAGGGTCGCGCGAGCATTAATCCATCATTTCCGAGGGCAAATAGAGAAACGACAACGTTTACGTAGCGCGATGCACGAGCGAAAGTATCTGGGTTCCGCAAACATAGCGCCGATGGAAGGGGAGGCGGATTCAAAATTTCTTGGTTGATGCTTGTAAATTACGCGCCGGATGCCGAGCGAAGCCCGAGGTCTCGTTTCATCGCCGGAGCAACTGGAGCAACGGCCTTTGCTCGCCGCGTAGCGGGATCGAGTTTGATGCGGCGGTGCGATCGAAGTGAAAAAGAAATTGGCAATGAATGTCCCTCGCTAGTTTCCCGGCCACGCATCGATCGTCTGGCAACGAGCCTGCTCGAATAGAAAAACACGGTTGTTCGTCTTACCTATTGCCGTGGCTGCGTCGCTCTCATCCCTTGAACTTGCGACGTTCACGGATGCTGCGACGGCCGACACCGGGAACCCGCTCTCGCACTTTCTTCTCTCCTCTTTTTATCCTCTCACCACTAGCTCTCCTCCCCGTCTCGCTTCTCTCCCGCTGCTCGCCGCCTCCGCGAGTTACGTGCCGAGTCCCGTACACAATGACACAATTTGTCACTCGCGAACGACCCGTTTAACGGCGAATCTGATCGAGCTCTCTCCGCTTCTTCGTCTCCCAGCTAGGCAGCGGCGAACCACACGCGAATCGAACGTCACACGAGGCACACCGGCTGCTCCGTTCCGTTCCGTTCCGTTCCGTTCCTCCTCCGCCCGTCGACCCGTCGATTTTCCGACCGATTGATGGATCGGCTCGCTCGAGCGCGAAACAACACTCCCGACGAAATCCCGCGGTACAATAGAAGCCCCCGTATATTCTTTCTGGTCGGCTGTCGCCGCGGAGCGCCGCGGCGATATCCTCCTCGCAGCTGCTCACCTGCCGCGCGCGCGGGCCCTCGTCCCCGCCGTCGCTAATTAATCTCGAACACAAGCGCGATAACAGCGGTCCTCCGGGGTGGTTTAATTAAAACTGAAAACTGGATGTCGCTCGCACGGCGCACTTGACCTTCCTCGCGGGAGATTTAATTGAAACCCCCTCGGCGGCGGCGGCGGCCCGCGACGGTTACGCGTACGTGCGTCGATCAACCGTGCACACGGATCTCGCATATTCGAGGATCCCCCGCGAGCATCGCACCAGACCCAGGGCGGTCCGCTCGATCCTAGATCGTCGGGCCCATCCAGCCGTCCCGGGACCTCGACGATCCAACGATCCTCCAACAAGTGTTATATCCCGGACGAGTTAGTTACCTAGCACACGATCCTGCTCGAACGGCACACGCTTCCCGCACAGATTGCGACGGTCTTTCGCGAGGACCACCTTCGAGGATCCTCCAGTGTCACTCGACAACTTACGGTCGACCACTAACTCCGCGTCGCGGAAGATCGACGAACGATCGTCGGCCTGCGTGTCGGCCGCGGGTGATTATCCACCGATGGTTTTCAAACGAACCGACGTTAAGTTAATTAACCGTGGCCGCGAGTTGCGGATGCCGATAACGATTTCGAGTAGACCCGGCCGCGGGCCCGCTGGTCCCTCGACGGACCCGATGAGACGACTAGCCCCGAAACAGGTGCAACCGTTCGTAGAGAAGATCACCAGTGACGAGATAATGAGCGCGTGTGTACCACCCCCGTACGTGTGTGTACGTGGCGGCTACGAGGCGAGATCCGACCGTGTCGCGGTGCGATAGCGAACTGACGTTCTGACGGGTTGCAGCGCCCCAACGGCGGTCGTCCGCCGAACCATCCGCCACCGTTTCACCGCAGGGGACCCGCCGCCACCCCCTCGGCCATCCGTTCCCACCACTTCGCGTGCCCCACTACACCTGAACCGCTTCTATTCGCGGCCAGGCTCTCCGTTGTGTGCCCTGCACGCCAGCACGCGAGACCCTCGAAGCTCTTTTCGGGAACCGGACGGTCTCCTTTGTGGAATCGACACGACCGTCGCCGATGGACGAAGGTTTTCTTAACCCTGCCGCGGTCGCGCCGCTAACCGTCGAGACCATCGGTCTCCCTCGCGTCCCGAGATATGGTAATCGAAAGTTAGCGCTGCTGTCTTCTTGCCGCGCGAACGACCCGTAAGCCACGTTTCGTGGTGAAAACTCAATTTTTTTCATTCGCTAACGGTCCTCTTTTCTGCTAAGTAATGACCGGATCGTCGGTTTTATTATATATTTATGTATTATATTTGTTTTTATTTATTTATATCTTTTTATATTTATTATATTATATTATATATGTTATATTATTATATTATATTATATTATATTATATTATATTATATTATATTATATTATATTATATTATATTATATTATATTATATTATATTATATATGTTATATTATTATATTATATTATATTATACTATATTATATTATATTATATTATATTATATTATATATGTTATATTATTATATTATATTAT